CAGCAAGGAGTGTGGACATCTTTATTCACAGAAGAGAGCATCTAATTCGAAATCATAGAAGGCTGTTAGACATAAACTACAGTGGAGCCATGTTTTGAGGGATGTCCAGGAGTTAAGACAACAGTGGAGATATTAAAGCCTGGGGACTCTCATGTGCACAGAGGAGAGAGCGTAGAGGGAATAGTAAGTAATTCAGTGTGTGTTGGCTTAGTTACAAGGTGTGGAGAGTCATGTTGAGAGAGTGGGCTTAAGTGTAAACTAGGTTTATACTTGATTCCATCAAAGAACTTTAGTTAATGAAATAATATAAGGTTCTTTTCCCTTTTTCTTACCTTTGAAGTTCATGGAATCCATTTGTACCATATTCCTGAAATCGTTATAACAGTTATCTTTTGTATGTCAGAACTTATTTTCTTCCATCTCCTCAGGTGATTTTAGCATCTGGAACATATTGTTTCCCCTCCATTGCCCACCATCGCACTAAGTAATGGCAACCTCCCTTTACTTCTTTCCTGTTCCTCATGTCCACATGTCCTAGGATGGTACTTATTAAGTTTAAACCCAGGCTCACCACTTACTAGCTGTGTAATTTCTGACAAGTTACCTAACCTCTCTTTGTCTCAGTCTCCTCAGCAATAATCCATCAGAGGGTTGGAAGAATTCAATGAAATTGTGGATGCAAAAACACCTGGCTTCTCTGCAATGCAATGACAATGATTTCCCCTCTATTATGAGTATCTAAATTCATCCAGGTTGACAAATGCTTTTTGCTACAGTTTAGACCAGCTTGAAGCAGCTTGAAAAAGGAAACCTGAGAGGAACTGTATTATCTCCAGAGCTTTCTTTCAGTGGTAGCTCCAGTCATTTAGGGACAAAGCCCAAGCTGGTGGGAGACCTCACCTGTCTTTGATTGCTAGATCAGAGAATGAAAGAGGAGCCTGGCCTTTAGGGCTTCCCACTCACAGCTTTTACAAATTCAAGAGGTGCTGCATTTTAATGTTAAAATGGCATAATTTTTTCCCCCTCTTAGGTCATTCTTGTCTCCTTTCTACCCAGTCCCTACCCCCTGTTTTCCCCTTACCCCATGTAACAACGACAACAAAAAAATTCAAACCCTGGTCATTTCAGATATATCAGAATATCACAGCAGAGACTAATCTTGCCCAGACTTTCTGCGAAAGCTCACATGTGCCGCAGTTTGGGGTTGCATAATTGATTTAATCTCCGATTTTAGAGGAACGCTGAACTCTCTTTGTGGGACTCTGCATACATTTCTCTAGGGCAAAAACTGTCCTACTTTTTTCTCTCTGGTATCTGTTTAGTGCTAGGCCATTCCCCGCCCCTCCCCCCCCTAGAATCTAAACTACCCTCCGTGAAATAAATGAAATCACAGTTGGAAAACGGCTTACTGGACAGACTTAAAACTGCCAGATAAGAGCTACACCACACATGTTTTCTTAACATTCTCCTCCTCCCCTGCTTTCCTTCTTTCTGCTCTAGTACGTCTTTGGGCCGAGAGGATACATTAGTCATTCAGCTGAGGATTGGCATTCCTACCTGGAACAGCAGTGTACTCCAGCAATTCACTGGGAAAACAGGCTGTGGGGTCTGATCCTTGCCCCCTGACCCACTGTCTGACTCCAGGCAGATTCACTTACCTCTCTGAGGCTTACTTTCAACAGTGCCTCATAGACTAATGGCTGTGAAGGCTAGACCATAAAGATGTAGCAAGCTGCAAACTCACAACTCACATGGGAACATTTTGGCTAACCAGGTATATATATGGAATGCCAATGGAGGAGAATGATTTTACACCCCCTGAAAAACGGCTTAAGCAAAATGATAACCAGGCAATTTTAAGTTCACTAGTTACTTCATAGTGTATCAGCAGCCTCATTTTGGTTGTTTTCAGGGATTTCTCAATTGGAAAGTCTCATCTGGTGACAGATATTCTTTGTCAGCCTGTTTGATACAGTATATAGTTTGGGAACTATCTTCTCACCAGGTTCTTCTTGAAAAACGAATTCTTTGTAATACTTTCTGTATCTTAAGATGTATTTTCTGAAGTAAATAACCTTTATTAGGTCAATACTAAGACTAGTCCAGCAAAATTCCCCAATTTGTATGCTGCAAAAGTGACCAAACTCCTCTGTTTGCATTGATGGATTAAGGCCAAAAGCCGTGCTGACTTTCATATCCTGAATGGATTTTCTTCATATGCTGCTAGAATAATTTCGGTTTAGAGAAAGACCCAGTACATGTTTAATAATCACTTGGCAGAAACTGTTCAAATTCACCATTGTTTAAATTCAGATTATTACTTACTAGTTGGATAAATTTGGACAAGTCCTTTAACCTCTTAGCCTTGTTATGTATGAATAGTTAAAATTGACCTAAGAATCATACTTAGGGCACCTGGGTGACTTAGTTAAGCATGACTCTTCATTTTGACTCAGGTCAGGATCTCATGGTTAATGAAATCAAGCCCCATGTCGGGCTCTGCACTGGCAGCATGGAGCCTGCTTGGGACTCTCTTTCTCCCTTTCTGCCCCTCCCCTGCTCGCTCTCAAAATAAATAAACTTAAAAAAATAATAATAATACTTACTTCTCCGGATTGCTGTGAGGATTAAATGCTAAGATGCATGTAAAGCAATTTGGGGATACAGCCATAGACAGTTTATCAGCCAGGTTTTGCTGTAATTATGTGTAACAAATACTCCCCAAATCTCATTGGCTTACAACAACAAATATTTTCGCTAGAATCAGTTGCAGCTTCTGTGTTCTTCAGCTCTGCTACCTTTGCCTTCATTCAGGCACTAGATGTCATTAAGGAATTCTCCTTTCATGACAGGGAACATAACAGCAAATGACCTGGTGAAAACTTGCAAAGTATTTTAAAGCATCAACTCAGAATTGGTATTACTATCACTTCTACCCAAATTTCATTGGCCAAAACAAGTCACTAGGACAGGCTAAATTTTAGTAGTTAGGAAAGTATATACTTCCTGAATGGAGAAAGAAGAGTGAATATTTGCTGAACAGCAATCCACTCTACCTCAGAGAAGTTTACTGCATCTCATTTTCCCCCCTTTTCTCATTTCATCATGTGACAATTGGCTCTTCTATGTATAGTCTACATGATAGCATCTACTTTGCATTCTCTAAATTACATCACAATTTCCTCCTCTCTCTTTTAATTTCAAATTAATTTAAATTACTTTTCTTTGTAAACAGGTACTTTGGAAAATCCCTTAGGAAAAGAGCAAAAGCTTCTGATTCTCCTTAGAGCCTCAGAAGGAGTTTTCTGTGACCGTTTCAATGGAATTCATGTTGATCCAGGAACAATTGGTAAGAGTATACTATAACTTTTTATTAAAAATGAAATGAAATGTATATTTCTGTGATGGAGAAGTGACATTCATAGAACACATACTAAATTTCAGGCACTCTTCTAGATAATTTATATTTATTATTTCACTTACCAGGTCTTCTGTACCAGTGTCCATTTTACAGATGTCCAAAATAGGACTCAGAGATGATTAACAATATGCAGAAGGCCACACAGCTCTATAGTGTCAGAGCTTAGATTTATATCCAGATAGGTCAGACACCAAAGCCTGGACTAAGAGTCTGTTATCAACTATAAATATTATGTGGTTGTTGATATACATATTTAATTGATCTAAAAAAACACGGTTGGCAGTTTCTTTATTTGGTACTGCCACAGCACCAAATCCTATTTTAAAGTTGACCTATGTAAAAGCATAGAAACTGGGACCAGGATTATATAACTAGGATGTGAAGCCTCACAATAACTCCATATTAAGGGATAGGTATAAGAAGCTGCTTATTCTAACATGTTTTTTTTTTGTTTTTGTTTTTGTTTTTTGCTTTCTTTGTATGGCATTACTAATTTTCTAAGATTTCAACAACCCAGTAAAATGGAAGCAATCATGTTAGGCTAATATGAAGTTTGATAACCTAGTTTCAAAAAGTATAACCATTGCAAGATAGTACTGTACTTTCAGAGGGCTTTATTGTTTCAAAAGGATTTTTCATACATGCTTTTATCTTTTTACGAATATGAGGTTCAAGAATATTTTTGCTTTTTTACTAGATGGATAACAGAACATTCCATTTATTTTTGCCTGTGGTATCCACTCTGTTTGGTGCAGCACCACATTGGATTAAACTTTGCTTTAGTATAAAAGGATGCCCATCTTAATCCTCAACTCCAGCGATATGGCCAAGCTAGTGTGTTTGAAATTTTCTCTGATATTAAATTGAATAAGGAATGAAATATTTCTCTGTATGCTTAAAATTGTATGATACAATGGTAAATTACAGATTTTAATTTTTTTACGTAGTATAATCTTGAAACAAGGAATGGGAGTTATTTTATAGTAAATCTTTGATGATTAGAAATGATCAAGAAATCTACTTGTCTGATCAGTCTAGTTTTCTGCATAACTCAGTTAAGGAAATTAACTGGTTTTCACCAAAATCGTTGCTGGACATTTCTTTAAATTACTTCACGTTCCTCCCCTTCCTACTTTACTTAGCCAATAGTGAAAAAGGTGGAATATTTTTAAAGATGATGATGATGATATCATATGAAATGTTTAGAGATAGGCATATATATATATGACTATCATTATGAAAGATCGATTATTCCAGGACATGTCTTAAAAGTTAGAATACTTGTTGCATTTCCATTAATCCTGATTTTTAGTTTTGTGACTTTTTCTGAATTAGAGTATGGAAAAAAATATAGATAGTGACATAAACAGGTGGTTGGGTTCTAACTGAGAATTTTTTTTTGCTTACATTGTATTAAAACTCAAAGCATAGTATTTGCACCTTACTGGTATTTGGGGTTTTTTTAATTCAAGTTTTCTGCTAAAAATTGTGAAATCTTTAGATTTCAGTATTAGTGATATATTATGCACCAATCCAGGCATAAACAAACAATACATTTGGGTACAGGAAGAAAATGTTAGAACTTTTATTGAATCATATGTGAAGATATTCATATATGTGTATATTTATCTAAAAATAAATAAATACACATGCATTAGGAGTGCATGATCATAATTTTGTTACTGCTTGGGTTCTGCTCAAAACATTTTGAGACCATTGGAATATGAGGAATTGTGCTACATGTGATTTTAAACAGCAATAAAACACGTAAGAGGAAAGACCTGAAGGAATAAAACTGGACCACATCAAGCATATCCCTGGTACAACTTAAATTTATGAGTCTGAAATAAATTATATTTTGAAACAAAGGAGCTAGAGATCTATCCTTTGATATCTGTAATACAAAAAAATATGAGGTCCAACCACTGAAAACAAAGCTAATAGCACCAAATCCCTTTCCTCAGGGAATAAAATTACCCTTGCCTTTTGGAAAATGAAGCCGATAACATAAAATATCAAAACCAGTTAACTTCCAACAGAACTGCAAATGGTTTGGAGTCACATAATGGTAGAATGTAACTAGTTAGCCATTGGAATGGTCCCAACTTTTGGATTACGAGATGTTGTATAGCATTCATTTCTCTATAGCTTTATGAGAGAATGAGAATAAGTTTTGAAGAATTCATTCTTTGTCTGGTAAGATGGACATCTTCATATGTAGTTTCTATACAACATATCCTGCACAGTAACCTCTCTAATGAGCCTTACTTAGGTGGCCTTAATCCTCTAAAATTTCTTGTCCAACAGTTCCTCCTTTTACTTTCAGGGGTATATGGGAAAGTCCAACTTCATGGTGCTTGTCCTAAGAAATCCTGGACCCGTCTTGCAGCCGACATCGCCCCAGGCAACGAGAGGTAAGAAATGAGAGTATGTTAGGGAATGCACTTGTTTGTTTAGTTTGCTCCTGTTTCACATTTTGTTACAACATGAAATTAAATTTTAGATTAAGACTCAAAACTCAAGGATGAGTAAACAGTAAAATAAGGGACAGATTAAAAAAAAAATCTCTGTAACATAATTGTGGTAGAATAAAGCAACCAAAGGCAGAAAAGACTATAGTTTATTTAAGGAGCAAAGTTTAGATAATGCATGTTTACTGCTATCAATAAATCTTTAGAAATATGAATTATATGAGATACTAGATGAAGTAAAATGTGAAATCATGATAGTCTGAGTTGAGATGATAGCTGGTTAAGAGAGAGACAAATAAAATAGGATTGAGATGAAGAATATGAAGAATCTTATGGAATTTATTTATTTATTTAAAATTTACTTATTTTTGAGAGAGAGAGCAGGTGAGGGGCAAAGAGCGGGGGGCAGAGGATCCGAGCAGGCTCTGCACTGACAGCACAGAGCCCAATGTGGGGTTCAAACTCACAAACTGTGACATCATGACCTGAGCCAAAGTCGAATGCTTAACTGAATGAGCCACTCAGGAACCCGGAATTCTGTGGAATTTAAAGTGCAACAACAGAATTTAATAATGCACTCACTGGAAGTGGTAAAGAATGAAATCACCTCTGCCCCAAAGTGCATAAGCACTATGAAGAACACACCGATGGAATCTACCTGAATGCAGAGGACAAAATCAGGAGACAAAAGTCATAAAAGAGGGGCGCCTGGATGGCTCAATTGGTTAAGCCTTTGGTTCAGGTCATCATCTCGCGTTTCATGAGTTCAAGCCCCGCATCGGGCTCTGTGCTGAGGGCTCAGAGCCTGGAGCCTGCTTCGGATTCTGTGTCTCACCCTCTCTCTGCCCCTCCCCTGCTTGTGCTCTCTGTCTGTCAAAAAATGGATAAATGTTAAAAAAAAATTTAAAAATCATAAAA